CCATATTCATTGGAGGATTCTGGAACTTGCAATATCTAAAAATGATCTTTCCCAATCTCTGGTTAGAAGTGGACAGCAGTTTAAGCTAGTTTTGGCAGACAGTAGTCTTAATTATCTCACAGGAAATAATTAATAGTTAATAGACAATTAATAGATACAATGGGTATCCACTGGTAGCCTTGTTATCACTTGGTATCCTCTGGGTTTTGTTTCCAGGATCCCCCCACCAGTAGATACCAAAATCTGTGGATGCTCAAGTTCTATTAAATAAAATGGCAAATCACACACACCCCCAAAGATGAAAGAAAACATATATTTGCACAACATTTGCACAATCCAAGGCAAATAATAATAATAATAATAATAATAATAATAATAATGTATTTTAGAAGGGGTGGAAGCCCCAAATCAGATCCCAGTATTGTGAAAACAGTTCAGATCCAATTTGGGGTTTTGGGTCTGCATAATGTAAACTAAAGGGGCCAGCATGGTATAATGGTTTCAGCACTGGACTAGGGAGGCTAAGGGCCTCGGCAGACGGCTTATTGAGCCGTCTCCGAGGCAAGGAAGAGGAGGAGCAGCCACACGCGCAGCGCTCCTTCCTCTTCCTGAGGTCGCCCTCGGAGTCGCCGGCCCTCCGCACGGCCGGCGCTCCGGGGATGACCTCATGTCGCAGCGACCACATGCGCTGCGGCGGAAGAGTCAGGGAAAGTGCGCCCGCCGCTTTTAGGGCGCACTTTCCCTGACATCTAAAAGGAGTGCCAATTTGGAGCTCCTTTTAGGGACGCCGCAGGAGCGCCGTGGTGCGGAGGCTCCGCTCCGCCAGCGCTCCGTCCGGCGGCGTCCCGGAAGCAGTCGTCTGCTTCCCCCCTAAGGTTGGAATCCTGTCTTGGCCATAGAAACCTACTGCGTGACCTTGGGCAGGCCATGCTCTCTCAGCCTCAAAGGATGGCAATGGCAAACCCCCTCTGAAGAAACTTGCCAAGAAAACCCTGCATTAGGTTCACCTTAGGGAAATGACTTGAAGACACAACAACAACAACAACAACAACAATGTAAACAGCACAGAGTGAACCTGGTGAGAATTCAGGGTTGATAAGCAATGTAGACAAGCCCCTAGTTCAGTATTCAAAGCAACACCCCATGATGACTGTCCATGATCAGTTTCATTCAGAAGAAGTTTGGTATTGCCTTTCTCTAACATCATCCAGTGAGTTTCCTGGAGTCTTGGGAGTTTATCACACTGCTAAAAAAAAGTCTTACCTCTCCTGAATTCAGTTTTAATTTGGGTGGCATCCAGATACTATTTCAGGGATTTTGCTGCCAAATCTGCCGCCTGGGTCCAGCCCGGGTCCAGTCCGGGTTCCAGGAGCGCTCAACGTGCCTCTTTTCAAAACCGGGAGTTTTCCAACTTAAAAAAAAAAAAAAGGCCACTGGAGCATTCCTGGGATCAGGACTGGATGTGGGCTGGATGCGGGTGATGGATTTGGCAGCAAAATCCCTGCAATAGTATCCAGATGTCACCCAAATTAAAATTGATTTCGGGAGAGGGAAGACATTTTGTGTAGTGGTGTAATAAGCTTCTTAGTCCAACACTCAAACTACAATACCATATTGACCCTCCAATTAAATTGTGTGTGTGCATGTCTTCAAGTCACCTGTCAACTTATGGCAACACCATGAAGAATGTACTTAGGTAAGGAATATTCCTTAGTGGGTTTGCCAATTCCTTCCTCTGAAATACAGCCTACAGCACCTGGTATTCATTGACAGTCTCCCATCCAAATACTAAACAGGGTTGACTCTGCTTAGCTTCCAAGATCAGAGACGATCTGGTGCCTTTAGGGTGTTTAGTCCAATTAATTTGTACAAGTGCATATTGCGAAATCGTGATTAGAATTGAAATAAATTATAGAAGAAAGGCAGCATACACATGAAATAAAATAAATAAATACAGGGGATTGCCTTCTTTTACTTTATCTTATGTGGTTAAACTGTTAAGATTTCTGCTTCTCCATTCTTCCTTGGCATCAGTGCTTCTATTTGAACAGTTATTCAAATGGCTAGAAGAGGCATTTAGATGAGAAGGGGAAATCATTGACAAGGAATTGTTCTCCAGGGAAAGAACATTAGCAGCAAAATTTGGAAGAGGGATTGTTGGGTGGAAAAGTGCAAACTGAGTCAATATTTCTGAGCCAGGCAGTTTTGTGATCTCAGCTGCTCCTGTCACCTTGGCTTTTACATAAGAGACTGCTGGGCAGCAATTCAATCATAAAGCAAACTCAGCATGACAGAGGAGAAATGGCGGGGCTGATGGGCTAGAGATAAAACATTGGGGTGGCCCCCTTCAAGCCCCATTGCTGCAGCTGGGCCAGTTTAGGACCCTTATTAGGGTTCTCGTAAATGGTTTACAGGATGCGGCGCCCACAGAGGAATAGGTTGGGGGGGTTAGAGGTCCAAGGAACTGGGAAAAACATGAAGAAACCAGTGACAAGAATGTATCTGCTACAACATAAAGGATGCTTCACATCAGCCACCCCATGTCTAATCTTTGGAGATTATTGCACAGCTTCTCCCCCCCCCCCCCCCCCCCCCCCCCCCCCCCGATCTGGGCATGGGATGAGACCATGTATAAATGGATGTTATCGCACAGCTTCGTGCCAAGATCGGAGGCATCTTGTACCCAAACGGGACTTCTCCATATTGAGCAATGAATGGAAAAGAACTGTGTTTTTTTTTGCTCAGGCCAAGAGAAGTCCCAATTAGGTACAGGATGCCTTTGATCTGGGCATGAAGCTGTGTGATAACATCTGTTTTTACATGGTCTCAGCCCATGTCCAGATTGGGAGAAAACAGCCGGTGTGATAATCTCCTTTGCGGGGCCATCTTATCTTACTTTCCCATTTGTAGAAGGGCTGGTCTGGCTCCCTCTCTGTCCCCCTTGGTTTAGAGCTCTCTTGGGTGTCTTCTCAACTCACAGCCAAAAAAGGCCTCAATCCAGCTGTTGCCCAGTTGCCCAATCCAGCTGTTTGCCTACAACTCAGGTCTAAAAGAAAGATTTGTAGCCCTTCCCCTGTCTTACAGCTTTTCAGTGGTCTTTCATTGTGTGCCTTACCACATCCCAATGCAAAGGCTTTAACCAAGGCCAGAAACTGGTTCTCCATCCCTCTTGAGGCCAAGGATCTGAGAAGCCTCTGGTGGGTCCTATTTTTCTACACTCTGCTATTGCTTGCTATCAGTAGGAAATGTGACTGCAATCAGGAAATCAGAAGAAGACTAGGAATGGGAAGGAAACCAATGAAGGAACTAGACAAGATCCTAAAGTGCAAAGATATACAGATAAGCCCTAAAGTTAGAAATGTCAAGCCATTGTATTCCCCATCACCATGTATGGATGCAAGAGTTAGACAGTGAAGAAAGCAGACAGAAAGAAAATGAACTCATTTGAGATGTGGTGCTGGAGAAGAGTGCTCAGGATACTGTGGACAGCCAAAAAGATGAATAAATGAGATCTTGAGCAGATCAAGCCTGAAATCTCCTTGGAATCCAAGATGATCAAATTGAGGCTGTTGTTTTGTCAGCACATCATGAGAAGGCATGGATCACTAGAAAAGACAATAATGCTAGGAAAGGTGGAGGAGGCTGCATGCCAGATGGATGGACTCAATCAGGGAGCTCATGGACTTGAATTTGCAGGATCTAGCAGCAAAGTGGAGGATAGGGAATAATGGAAATGTCTCATCCACAGGGTAGCCATGAGTCAGGGGTCAGACTGAAGGTGGTTAACAACAACAACTCCATTACTGGTGTAACACATACAAGCACAGAGAGAATATTCCACCTTTTAGTCTTTCCCAGCTTTATAACACCAACAATGAGGCGATGAGATCTGCTCTGAGGATGGACCCTCTTCCCCTGCATTCAGAGCAGAAGATCCCAACAATGCTCTGTCCACTAGGGCCTCATTCCCACTATGTTGTAAACTGGTTTGCTAACTGGTTTGAAGTGGTTTAAATGACACTTGTTTTTACTTGAGCCAAATCGCTGAAGCAGTTTGGTGATGGGACCCCTCCACTAGACCCATTTAACATGCATCGTTTGGACGCTAATTTTCCCCCGCGTCTTTTGCAATAAATCGATTCAGTGCAAGTGTGAATGAGATGCGGATCGGAATCGATTTCCTATAATGTGATCAGCGATCAGCGACTTTTGAATTGATTCATTAGTCAATGTGAATGACAAATGGGTTATTTTACAACAAGAAAATGTGATCGGGGCAAATGTAGTGTGAACCATACTCCGGTGTTGAACCAATCCATTGATTCAGATCGCAAACTGATTTATTTGTAAGTGGGAATGAGGCCTAGGATCCCCTCCCTGGTTCCTGCAGGATGTCATCCTAAAAATACCACCACCCCTGTCATAAAGAATATTACAAATTTCTCTGGAATGATTTTGTCTGGCAGTTCTTCTCTTTCTCTTTGTCTCTAATAATTTGCAGAGGCAGCTGTAATCTTGGAAAGGAAATCTCTCTCTTGTAGTCTGCACTGTCATAAAAACAGAAGAGGTGAGCTGGGTATGTGTTTTCTGAGCCCTTGACTGCAATGGCTTCTTCTTTTAAAGGTTTTTGGGGGATTGGTTTTGTTTTGTTTTGCTTTCCCATTTCGTTCCAGAAACACACTACCCTGTGATTTATGGTGGGAGCTGCTCTATTAATATCAAGAGCAGAATTGCTTGAGACTTTCCAGCTGCCCGGCAGAATGAAAATTATTTTGTTGTCTGTGGATTGGATGGGGCAACGAGGGCTGCATGGTAAAATGCCTCTTTCCTAGCTTGTTCTCAGCTGGACTGAACTGGGCTGATGGCTATAAGGGTGCTTTCACACTGGGCGTCAGCACTAGTCACACTATGCAGCTATAGCACTGCTATCATTTTAATGGGTGTGACTGCAACCTACAGAATCCAGGGATTTGTACTTTGGTGAAGTACTACCGAGAACTAGCATGGTGTAGTGGTCTGAGCATCAGGCTATGACCCTGGAGACCAGGGTTGAATTCCCTGTTCAGCCATTTAAACCCACTGGGTGGTCTTGAGTAAGTCATACACTTTCAGTCCCAGGGGAAAAAAACACATGATCTTCATGGATCTTAGGGTCTTCATATGTTGGAAATGACTTGAAGGCCCACAAAAGCAACAGGGTATTACCACTCTCTGGGAGAGAATTGTGAGTAACCTTTTTGTTGTTGTTGTTGCATGCCTTCAAGTTGCTTCCAACTTAGGTAGCTTTCAACCTAAGGTGAACTTATCACAGGGTTTTCTTGGTAAGGTTTGTTCAGAAGGGATTGACCATTGCCTTCTTCTGAGACTGAAGATAAGACTGAGGATGACTGATCCAGAATCACACAATGGGTTTTCTTGGCTACGTGGGGATCCAAACCTCGGTCTCCCAGAGTCATAGTCCAACAAACATTCACTATACCACACTAGCTCTCGGTTTTTAGGCCTCGGCACTGCAGTTGGATTAACTTTGGTTTTATTCAGTAGCTGTTTTTGTAGAGCTGGTTGGCATAGTGGTTTGAGCATTGGACTGCGACTCTGAATACCAGGGTTTGATTTCCAGCCTGGCCATGAAATCCACTGGGTGACCTTGGGCAAGTTACATGCTCTCAGCCTCAGGTGAAGGCAATGGCAAACCTCCTCTGAACAACTCTTGCCAAGAAAATCCCATGATAGTTTCATCTTAGGGTCACCATAAGCCAGAAATGACTTGAAGGCACACAACAACAGCAACAGCTGCTTTTATTTGTATTTTACCCTATCTTTTTATTATGTTTTACATTTTATAGATTTTTAAAGATCTCCTCTGTGAGCTGCCAAAGGATCTATGGCTGTGGGGACAAGCTGAAATGTTATAAACAAACTGTAATTCTCAAATCATTCCAGTGGTGATCTCTGCTAGAGATGCCACTTCTACCAGAACAGGCCAATTCTATGCATGTTCACGCAGCAGTTAGTCCCACTGAGAACTGCAGTCTTAACCTAATAAATTATGGATAGCTCTGCTATTCACTATATCATTGTTAAGAGAGAGAGAGAGAGAGAGAGAGAGAGAATATCCCTGTACTACTTTTAAGAGCAATAAATCATAAACTCTGCTTTTGTTACAATAATGAGTTCCTGGCACTACATAGTCCTTCTAGTTGCAGTTTACACTCCCAATTACATACTTGCTGGACCCACCGGTTCCATCTTTCCATGAGTGGCCAAGATCCTGGAGTAATCCAAGCTGCTGCATCATACACACACATACACACATACATACACACCAAGTCTGAATGGCAGGGTGGGGTGGGTGTCTGCAGAGTCTAAAAATAAGTGCAACCATTTTTTAGCCAGAACACACCCCATTCCCAGCCCTTTTTCTGTTTGGCAGAGTCAGTACATAATTGCAGGGTTCAGTATTCCAAGCATACATCCATCCAGCCCTAAAGAGATCTGAATGTATACTCATTGCTGTGCTGGCAGCCGGAATTACAACATTCTTCTCTTGTGTTAGAAAAGTCCATGCAGCCTTCCCTGGTACAAAAACCTTCCTGCCAGAAATTGGCAGGAGCAAGACAGCAGCCTCATTTTGAGGGGTATAATAGTTAAGCGGTCTAAGTAGGATTGCCAGTCCCTTACCATAAACACTTTTTCTTATTTGAGGGTCAGAAAGCTTGCCTCTTATAGGTCTTATAGGTCCTTGCCTCTTATATAAGTGTCTCCCCTATTTGAGGGTTGGAAGGTTTTTCCTTTGATTTGGATGGTATATAATGCAAAAAATACTGGTTGCTATTCTGTCTCAGCTATTTAGTTAAATATACTTACCTGAGTAACTTATGCTGGCCCAGCCTTGGAAATATCATTCACACATGCTCCAACCTTGAGCAGAATGGATCTCCTTTTCATGTAGCTGATGCCCAATAAAGTAGGTTATGTGTGTGGTGGATTACAATGTGACAATAGTGTCACAATTGTGACTAAGCAGCAATTGTGAATACTGAAAACCTTGATGTCCTCATCTGTATTCACAATTGCTACTTGGAGCCTTATCACATAAGAAAAGAAAGCTGAAATGGAGCGGGAGTGTAGCAGCTTTCTCTGTCCCTCTCAGCATGCTATTGTAGCGCTTCCATTCTTCTTCCCAAGAGAGACTGTCATAAAAATGTGCCTTTTGCTGAGAGGATTGTTCCAGTTTGACAAAAGGCACACGTTTACAACTGTCACCCTCAGGAAGAGAATGGAAGTGCTACAACAACATGCACAGAGGCACAGAGAAAGCCGCTACTCTCCTGCTCCATTTCAGCTTCTTTCCTCATGCGATAAGGCTTCTAGTCAATGATTATGACATACTTTACCAAGCATCAGCTACATGGGGAGAAGGAGGTCCATTCTGTTGGCAACTGGAGCATGTGTGAATGATGTTTAAATTAGTTTTTTTCGGGGGGGAGGGTAGGCAAGAAGATGAAGTATACTTAAGTATACATATACTTAACTAAGGGCTTCTGCAGACCGGTCCAAAGGGCCGGCCTGGGAGTAAAGTTGGAGTGGGACAGCCGCATGCCGGCTGCCCCAAACCCACGCTGATGCCATCTTATGCCGTGCACTGTTGCACTCAGCATGCAATATCAGGATGCCCTTCTGGCACAACATTTAAAAAACGCTGTGCTGAAAGGGTGCTGAAGAGCCATAGCGCCGGCTCTTAGGGTGGCCTTTTGCCATCCCTAAAAGAAGCAGCATTTTGCTACTCTTTTCAGGGTGGCAAAAGGGAGGATTGGGGAAGTGGCATGGGGTTGCTGCGGCCCTGATCCACCGCTTCCCGAGGCAGCCCAGAGCTGATTGTCTGCAGAGGCCCTAAGTATAACTAAGAGGCTAAACAGACAGCAGGTAAGGGGTGGCTTAATGCCGCCCCTTTGAGTGCCAGATTGGGGCCGCAGCAACCACATGTAGCAGCCCTGATCTGGAATTTTTCCAGCCCAAAAAGGAGCAGCAAAATGCCGCTCCTTTTTGTGCCAGAAAAGAAGCACTCCTTTTGCTGCCACAGCTCTTCTGCGCTCCTGCGTCGTGGCACGTGTAAATGCCAGGCTGCAGGAGTATTGCAATGCTGCCCGCTGTCTGTTTGGGTGAGCAGTGTGATGGTGGCTTGGGGGCAGAGTCAGGGCATGCAGTGTGCGGTCACTACGCCCCAACTCCACCCCAATGCCAGCCCTTTCTGCTGGTCTGTTCAGTCCCTAAGTATTTTTGGGTATAGATCCTTCAAAAAGACATCATGTAATTACATGTGCATCATGTAATAAATGAACATGGACAATATGTTAATTTTACAGAGAAATACACAACTAAGGGCCTCGGCAGACGGCTAATTGGGCCGTCTCCGAGGCCCGGAAGAGGAGGAGCCGCCGCACGTTCGGCGGCTCTTCCTCTTCCTGAGGGCGCACCCGGAAGCGCCGGCCGTCCGCACGGCCGGCGACTTCCGGTTGCCCTCACGCCGCGGCAGCCGAATGCGCCGCGGCGTTTGAGCCGCCGAAAGTGCGCCCGCCGCTGTTAGGGCGCACTTTCGGCAGAATCTAAAAGGATCGCCATTTTAGCGGTCCTTTTAGATTCGCCGGGGATGCGCCGCCGTCCGGAGGCTGAACTCCGGCGGCGGTCCGGACCAGGGCGTCTCCGACGCCCTCGTCTGCATCCCCCTTAAGTTAACTGAAATCAATACTTTCATTTGATATTATGGTAGAACACAAACTTGTTAATAGTTACTTCCTAGTTGTCAGCCCTGCATGTCATGAATTTCTACTGCCTCTTATTGCTATTTTGAAACCTGACAACACTAGGTAAAAGCAAAGTAATCAGTGTTGATTTATCCTCTAAGTGTTTACACACTAAAAATAAAGTTAATTTGCTGCAGATCAAATTCTGTGTGGAAGGGCTCCCCTATGTATTAATACATTTGTGAATTGAATGCATCAAACCCAGCAAATGTAATATGTGCCTGATCTTTTTTTACCAATAGTAAAGGAATATGTGTTTAAGTGTGTGCATATGAATATGATTTTAAAGCATCAAACAGCACTTCAGACACGTTTGTTTTGCATCCCAGAAGGATGCAGTTAATCATTTACAACATATGTTTATTAGAGTAACTAACAAAACAGAAATATTAAAATGTAATGTGAAGATGTTTAAGTGTCTGCCTTCTTCAGTTGCTCAAAATCAGAGTAGCCAAGGTCAAAACGCTCTTTCTCCCCCTTCATCTTTCTTCTCTTCCATCTCTCTGTCTCAGTCTTCCAGAGCTTCTGAGACTGCTGGTCTCAGCAGCCCTAACCATCATAGTCAATGGTAAAAAGGCTGGGAACTGCAATTTAGCAACATACGGAAAACTATATTATTTCTAACTCTAATTTATATAGTGTAACTGCAGACTCCATGACATCATCACCAGGGGCCATCTACACTACAGACCTATAACACTATGAATCTCCTTGACAGAGTCACATCCTATGGAAACCAAGGGTTTGAACTTTGGTGAAGTCCTAGAGCAATCTGGCTGAGGAGTCTATTGCTGCTGTTAACTGCCCTCAAATTGATCCATCCCAACTCATAGTGACCCTTTGGATGAGACACCTCCAAGACTCCTCCATTGCTCTCTTTAGGACCTGCAAATTCATACCCATGACCTCTCTAATAGTTCTAATTCTTGTTCTAGTTCATCTGCATTATGGTCATAGACCAGCGCAGGTAAAAAAGGGGGAACAGAGTAAAAGAATGTAAAAGCAAGATAAAAACACAGGTTAAAAGCAATATTTAAAATATTCTTTAAAATTCCAGCATGACCCCTAATAGGGTCTATCCATCTAGTGTACAGTCTTCCTCTCTTTCTACATCCCTCCACCTTTCCTAGCATTATTGTCTTTTCTAATGAGTCTTGCCTTATCATGCTGTGGCCAAAGTACAAGAGCCTCAACTTGTAAGCTTATCGCACTGTGTTCTCGGAACGTGATGAGAATGGAACGTATTTTATCACACAGTATGATCCTCATTGAGTTCCCATTCTGTGCTCTGACAGTCCCTAGCCCGTTCCAGCAGGAGAACTGTAAAAATGCATCCTCAGACAGCAAGAACGCTTTCAGACGTTCCAGATGATGTGTGCGCAATAATCTCATCGATCTCAATCTGTCCTCATGTTCTGATTGGCTAAGACAACCTCCTCCTTCCCATCCTAGAACGTCCACAAACTCAATTCAACTCTTCTGGTGTTGATGCAAGGAAGGTGCCACAGGCAATTTAAAAAAATTTTTTTTTATTCTTGTAGATTGAATTGCATCGTGTTTACAAGAAAAAGCAATGAATGCTCGCT